TATAAAAAACGGGTACGGGGCGGGGCGGGGAGTGCTATACCCGTCCCCGTCCCCGTCCCCGTCCCCGGCTTGCGCCAAGCGGGGATCCCCGTCCCCRTCCCCGRGASCCGATTTTTCGGGGAATCCCCGTCCCCGACCGGGGCGGGTGGACCGGGTTACCCGACGGGTCGGGGTCCATTCCCATCCCTAGACATGGGACAATGACAAGAGCTTGGACAAAGTGGGACAGTGCGGGACAAAAAAAGTTTTTTCTTATTCCACCAAAATAGGTGAAACAAGAAGGGACAAGAATCAATCAGAAACTAAGATATTGTTAAATAACCTTCGTTTGATATATAATCTTAATATGATATTTGTTTTAGTGACCACTATCGCTAGTCGTGGCTGCCACCACCACCGGTACCCACCATCGGCCACCTCCACCTCCACTACTACAACCTTTTTCACCACCACCGACCACCATCATCCATCGCCACCTTCACAACCACCGTTGGCCACCGAACACCACTGTCCATCGCCCCCACCACTACCACCATTGGTTACCTCCACCTTCTCCTCTACTACAACAGCCTCCTTTACCACCTCCACAACCACTGTCCATCGCCACCACCATTACCACCATGGTCCACCTTACCTCCACCATCGGCTACCACTACCACCGTCGGCCACCACCATCAGCTATCACTACCACTATCTACCATATTCACGTCTTCCACAACCACCGTTGGCCACCACCACCGTCCATCTCCACCACCATTAGTATCGTCACCCACCACCCCTTCCACCTCCACCATAACCAACATCCCACCTTCATCAATTGATAAGGATCTTTCAAACCAAATAAAATATTATTTCTCCTTTATACGAATCAAATTTTTTCTAATTACCATCAATTATATAAAGTTTTTCATTCAAATCTGGTACTATTATATGTATTATTTATGTACATGAAAATGTGTAAAAATGTTTATAAGATAAATAATTTAATTATTTACATTATTTGTGCTAATTATAATTATTATATTATATATAAAATCATCAAATAACTTATGGGGGCAACTTGTCTAGTTCTGTCATGTCCAGTCCTAGTCGTACCAAACATCAGACAGACTCTTGTGTTGTCCCGTTCCATCTTACCCTCTTATCCTGTCCAGTTCAGTCATGTCCAGACATGTCTACGTACCAAACATTACCTTAGGAGATCATTATAGCTAAGATAATTAATCTGCTATCTAGGAGATGGTCGTTGCTATTATTTATAATTTTACAAATACATACATCATGAACAAAACCATAGGAGTCAAATTCTACCACACTAAAATCAGTGTAAGTGTATAATGAACGTTCAATTCTTCTCATTTTATATTAATTTTATCTGATTTTATGTGACATATTTTTTCTTCATGTAATCAGTGATTACAATATACTTGAAACTTTACATCTAAGTCATCAAAAAGTTGCATGATCTACAAGTCAAAAATGAGTACGAAATAAGAATAATTAAACATTTTGTTCCACTCCTTAAGAAAATAATATATATCTTTACATTAGAGGAACCAATATTGTTACATTTGACCTATATTTATACTATATTATAAAACATTTGACAAAAACTCTTAAAAACGATTTTTTATACATAAAATGTTGTATATTGATGCATAGTACTTAAAATTCAAGATTACAAGTAAATTATGCATAAATACAACTTACTAAAGCTCGATGTTTGAATTCGTAACTAACTGCGGATAAACATAATCAAATAAAGGATAAACATCTCATTTTAAAGTATAAAAATATATAAAATATAATTAGGATAATTATCGAGTTCTAACAAAATAATTAATTATGATCTTTATAAAAAAATTATATTATTTAACCAAATATAAATTACTTCATTATTGTACCTAAATTAAATTATAATAAAAAAATTAATTAAAAAACTACACAAAAAATGAGGAATTTTAATTTGTCAAATTTTTATTTTATTCAAAAATAAAAAAACATAACCGTTTTCTCAAATTCACATAAGACCATATTATAACATCGACTGAGATAAATAATAAAATGAAATAAAGGATAAACATCTCGCTGCATCGCGCGAGTGCCCTTCTAGTTTTTTTATAATGTGTACGATGTTGGGATTTTTATTTAACGACAAATCGTATAAAATGGTATTCCCTCCGTCCTAAAATAGATGCCTACAATTAAAATGATATACAGTTTTAGACATGCATAATTATTACACCTTTTAATTATTCAAATGACATATTTACCCTTATTTAATTTCTCCCTCTTCACAACTCTTAAATATTTACAATTGTTTCTAAAGCATTATTTATGGTTTCATGGTTTGATATTTTAAAGGGCAAAATGCATAAAATAGCAATCTACTTTCATAAATTTCTTTATTATAGCATTGTACTTTCAGTTTTTCTTATTACAGCAATGTACTTTCAAATTATTTTTTATTAGGACATTGTACTTTGAAAAATTTACCCATTATAGCATTGGGTAACCTTTTGATTTAAATTTACTCATTATACTAGGTTTCCAAGCCACCTCATTGTCCATGTAGGTTGTCCACATGTACTATAGTGATGTGACTTTTTTACTACATCATTGTACTTTCAAAATTATTTTATTATAACATCTACTAGTTCTTATTAAACATTGTATTTTTAATTTTAATATTATATATATATTTTTTAATAAATGTATTAAATGAATTAAAAAAATTCTAAATTATTCATTAATATACTAATATCAATAAAACTAGTAGAACACAACTTATCTCGTTAATATTTTTAGAAAAATATATGTTTTTTGAAAAAAGGAAAATAAGAATTGTTCTTTTTTTACCAAAAAATATTATCTTTACTTGACGAATATATTATATTTGTTTAAAAACTTTTTACTTGACGTATAAATATATTAAATTAATTAGATTTTTTTGAAGTATTTATTAATATAACAATATTAAAAAATTGTAGATAACAATTTATTTCGTTAATATTTTAAAGAGAACTTTAAAATATATGTATTTATTTGAACAACATAAAATAGGAAAAGTTGTATTTTTTACAAATAAAATATATCTCGAAAATAATGTTGCATATTTATTTAATAAATATTTTACTCTAAGAATATTTAATTTAAATGCAACTTAATAAGAAAAAGTAAAAAAAAAAATTAAATGTTTTTTTAGATAATAGCAATGAAAATTGAAAATCACTAATAATAATTTGAAATATGTTTTTATTTTAATTTTAGTTAAGTCATCAAAATGATGTGTCATACACATCACCTCATTAAAGACACACAAGCAAAAAAGTCAAAGGGTTAACCGGTTTAAAAGGTAACAGGTTACCCATTGCTATTATGGGTARATTTTTTAAAGTACAATGCCTTAATAAAAAATAATTTGAAAGTACATTGCTGTAATAAAGAAAAACAAAAGTAGAATGTTATAATAAGAAATTTTGTGAAAGTAGGTTGTTATTTCATGTCTTTAACCCTATTTTAAATGAATGCATGTTTTAAAATTGTTTATTACCTCTGATGTTGTTTTAAATATGTAAATGGGTTTGCATAGTAGGAATAGTGTACCTTGAGATAGTGGAATTTTTTGAGAGCTTATTAATCTGTACGCCTTGTTTTTTGTTTCATGAGCACATTGGATAGACATCTTCTTGGACATTGGTTATGAATGTCACAGTGGAGTGACTATGATATATGAACATTGTGTAGAGCTCGTTGTTTTGTGATTGGTATGATATTTTAAATCTCAATGCTTATTTTCATATGTTAAAAGAGAATTCACTAGACCTTTAGGTTTAATTATCGTTTTTCAAATAAAAATCTATATTCCAGTAAGTGTTAGATGAGGGTTGTCCCCAAGGAAAACGAGAAGATGTGATGAACTTAGTGGTGGATTGAATTAGAGCCTGGAGGGGGTGTTTGAGATTGCTTATAAAAAATAACTTATTGATTTATTTCAGTGTGATACCGAAAATAAGCATTTTTGAATATTTGGATAAACAACTTATACCGATATCAAACCGATAATATGAAGTTTTTAAAGAATTAGTTTGCTTTTTTGCAATAATTTTCACCGCGATGTTATTACGAGATAAGGTTGTGTACCATTATATTTATATAGTTGTAATAGTAGTTGGAATGTGTGGGACCCACCTATTGCTCTTTACCATTCCCACGGAAAAACAAGAGAAAAAAGTCGGAAAACGTCATCCGTCTCTCCCCCCATCACGTTCTCTGGAAACAGGGAATGGCAAGTTTTTTTGGCGCTCGGCGCGTAGGCGTAACCGCCGCTACACTCGCTGTCGCTGTAGGCGGCTCCTACGTGGCACTCCGTGACCCYTAYGTCTCCTCCAGCGACSTCGCYGGYGGAGGYWCAGCSCTAGAGGCARTCCGGAGGAAAATCACMGACCCSGYWGCGGTTGTACCTTCTCGTGCCGTACAAGAGTCATATCTCGTCGCTGCTAATTCCTCTAATCCACTCGACATTCTCGTTGTCGGTGGAGGCGCCACCGGATGCGGGGTCGCTCTCGATGCCGTCACCAGAGGGCTACGTGTCGGCCTTGTGGAACGAGATGACTTCTCTTCTGGAACGTCATCCCGCTCTACGAAGTTAATTCACGGAGGTATGTATGGCGGTTTTTTTGAACTTGATACTTTTGATCATGCATATATGTTATGACATCTGGTCAGTTGCAACTTGTGAGTATGAATCGATGATGTGATCGTTAATTGATGTAATTCAATGATCCCGATTTGCAATTAACTGAAACTAGGTCTAATTAACTCTTAATATCGTTAAGCTCATGAACAAAGTTCTAATACCGAGACAAGTGGAAATCAGATTGCAAATTTGCAATGACAAGTAATATCATCGACTAGCATAATCAATGAATAAGCAACCCTATAAGTGAAATTAAAGCAAACAGAGATTGACACTGGAGATTTTTTCATGGAAAACTCGGAAAGGGAAAAACGAGAGGCCCAGGATGCCGAAAACTGATCCACTATATGTTAGAAAGTAGGGTAGTAGAAGGAGAAGATAGCGCAGTAAATCAATGATTAGAACGTGAAAGGATCACTATCCTTAAGTATATTATTAGCCCCCACCATCAAGGTTGTTCACTTGTTTGGATTAAAGGCTAATACACCCCGAGGAATAATCTAATCATAGAGATATATTCAACAACTAAATATATCTCGTATGAACATTTCTGCAGATTTTGTATGAAGAGAAAGGAGAGGATTAAGAGAGATTAAATGATGAAATAATCACACACATATATATAGGTTTGCATGTATAACTGATTATGAATAAGATAAACTAATTTTTAAACTTATCCAAATCAGAAAAACTTGAAAAAACCCTATAAAAAACGGTCATAAACTTGCCAAACAGTGTCTTAAGGCGACTTTTCAAGTGAGTTAAGTCACTTAGTAAGTCAGAGTAGTCACTGTCCCCGTGCATCAGATCAGAAGACCACACGACTTTTCCTGCTACCCAAATCACATGGAAAACTCACCCTAGTGCTATCTTTTGACCGTTTAATACATGCGTAAACTTCACACAAGGCGAAATCCCCCTTAAGATTTTATCACTCTTCCAATGTGTTTTAAGTGTTATGCCTAAAACCCCTGTATATAGCCCACCAATACTTGTAAGATTTCAATATTCTTTCTATGTGGGACAAACCTTACGATGAAGACTATATATACAACACTATTGGATGGGATGTTACAACTTGAGAGATTACATGAATAATGCTGATAACCAATCCACCATCATTAAGTTTTCTTTATCCTACGTTTAGAAGAATTTTCTAATTTATTTGAATCTATATAGAAGCCAAATAAAGCCCAAAACAGTTGTCTCAGATAGAATAAATACTCTACACACAAATTCTTTTTTCGTCTAGAAAAGTTAATTTTATACCATGGTGTTCAATCATTGTAGTCCCAACCTTACTTTGTTTCAGTTTATTTCTGGATTCTCCGAGTAGATGGGCTTAGCTAAATTTTAACAAAAAGTAAATTTTAATAAAAAGTTGATTAACCAGCGAGACAAAAGGATTTTCATAAAGAAACATCGGTTTCCTGTGCTTGTATCTAGACTAATATCTCAGAGAGCTTCTCTCTTCTAGAGGAGGCTTGTATAGAGCTAAAAAGAAACAAATATTTTAAGATGAACTAATGATTGCACTGCTTTTCAAGGATTGTGGTTTTCAGTGTTTTAAATGCAGCGTTGATGGTGATAAAGCTTTCATATCTGGTGATAATCAACAAATTCTTGCGGAGTCCAAAGAAATGAAAATAAATAAAATAGGGGGTCAACTTGTTCCAATTTCATCTCTATTGAATTTGAATATCAGAATAGTGGATATAGTCATGATTCAATGGGTCAGGTCCACTTATTTTTCTTTTATTGATTTCTAATCGGGCACATAACCACAATTAAAATCAATAAAAAAATAGGAAACGAACGAAAAATTATAACAAATAGATAGCTGTTAGGAAGGAAGATTCCAATTCACTTAAAATCACATCATTAGATACTTGAGCTACTAAACTTAAATATGGAGCTGCTGTTTTAAATTGATGAAATTTCACTTGATAGCGGCTAGTTATTGGAGTGGCCACCAAGAGAATTTGAATCTAATGATGATGTATTCAGCATTATGAGCGCAAAAGAATCCTTCTCCATGTGCTACCGCTGCTGAAGAACTTGGAGAATCTTTTTAACGAAGTCCATGAATATGCATCCAATGATCCAAATAATGGGTCATAACATGGGCCATCTACTTATATTTTGCAAAAATAAAATGGAGGGGGTTACCATTCATCAATAAATATTGGAATATACCTGTTCTTATTCTTTACCAATCAAATGCATATGCTAATTTATTTTATCCCTTTAGGTGTTCGCTACTTGGAAAAAGCGGTATTCAATTTAGATTATGGGCAACTAAAGCTGGTTTTTCATGCATTAGAGGAGCGCAAACAGGTTATTGATAATGCTCCGCACCTGTGCCATGCTTTACCTTGCATGACACCATGTTTTAGCTGGTTTGAGGCACTATACTATTGGGTGGGCTTGAAAATGTATGATCTGGTGGCAGGACGACGTCTACTTCATCTATCCAGGTACTATTCTGCACAAGAGTCTGCTGAACTCTTCCCCACACTTGCAAGGAAAGGCAAAGATAGAAGTTTGAAGGGAACAGTAGTCTATTATGATGGACAAATGAATGATGCACGGGTTAATGTTGGCTTAGCATGCACTGCTGCATTAGCAGGAGCCGCTGTACTTAATCATGCCGAAGTTGTATCCCTTCTTAAAGAAGATGGTGGGAATCGGATAATAGGAGCACGGATTCGGGACAATTTATCAGGTAAAACTAACAGCATTTTATTCTGATGTTATCAGATGATACACACATGCTTTGCATGTTATATTGGTTTATATTTTGTTCTTCTTTTCCTGTTAATGAATTACTGTCCTTTTGGCTTTAAATTTGTTGCAATAATAAGCTGTATAAGTGTGGAGTATAAACCAAAAAAATACCGAAGTTTGTTGGAAACATCATTGGCAATCCAGTCTTATATCATCACATTTTATATTCTAGCATTATAGCACACTGCATGCTGAGATGAACCTGGTTAGTCTCTTTGTATATATACATAGATAAATAGGTATGGAAACAAGTATCCTCATTCTCTTGCCATACCTGAGTTCTATTTCAAGTCCGATTATGTAGGGGAAGGAACAGTGCCTTTGCTGCAGTGTGAGCAGGTAATGTTGCATTTGCTATCCCCCTGCTCTGTCCAAGCAACAGCTCAGGCTTGCAGTTCTCTTTTTGAGAATGCCATAGTGTTTCGGGTCACAGGGCATCATTGCAACCTGTATTACTGATTTTCGTGGTGTGAGTCTATGTAAGGATAGGTGAGAAGAATTAAAAGTTTCATCATGAATCTGTAGCTTGTTGATCTTATAGGTATGCACACACACAGACACTTGAAACTCCATATTTTGTCCAGATAAGACACTCAGGGGCACCTGTGTCCATGTACCTCATCCTGATTCTTTCTTCTTGTTATTAACTTGTTCCCCAACATCTAGTGATGCAAAACTTGGGCATATTTTGTTTTGAAATACTTCGTTTAATTCTTGCTCGTGTTTAAGTTTACAGGCACGGAGTTTGATGCATATGCAAAAGTAGTAGTTAATGCGGGTGGACCATTTTGCGACTCTGTTAGAAAATTGGCTGATAAAGATGCAAAACCAATTATCTGTCCTAGCAGTGGTGTCCACATTGTTCTGCCTGACTATTATTCTCCTGAGGGAATGGGCTTGATTGTTCCCAAGACAAAGGACGGACGTGTTGTATTCATGCTCCCATGGTTAGGAAGGACGGTTGCTGGTACAACCGACTCCAGTACGAGCATTACCATGCTACCAGAACCTCATGAGGATGAAATTGAATTTATACTGGATGCCATCTGTGATTATCTTAATGTTAAGGTTTGGATTTCACTTCTTAGATAGCTAGTCTTGTTTTTGCATTCTGCACCTTAACTTGCACTGTACATCATTGATTTATCTGCTAGCTTTTCAAGCCTTCCCTAAAGAATTCCACTCTTAAGACCAAGGAAAAGATGGAGCTTGGATATTTGTATAAATCCACACAAAAATCATTTCCTTACCAGTTATCTCAGGCTCCTGAACTTCAACCTGGTTGCCCACTTGCCCTGGATAAACATGGGCATTGTTTCTGCGATGTCAACTGTTTGTTTTTTTATTTATGATTTATTTATTGCAAGCTGGCTTTATGTAGGGTTATTGTTATGGTTTGAGTATTAGCGGTCAATGCTACTGTTGAAGGCTTTTCTGGAGGGTCTTCTTGTTGCTATGTATGCGTCTACTTTTAAATATTTATATGTATGTGACTTTGGCATGTACTTATCTCTTTCATATTCCATTGTAATGTTTTTCTTTACATATCATGGCATGTAAAAGAAATCTGGTGTAACACTGTAAGTTTCAACTTTTAAGGCATTATTTTTCATAATCCAGAGCTATCTCCTGCTACTTTTTATGGAAGAAGCTTCGTGAATTTTCTTCTTAAAGTAAGATATGTGCATAGGGTTGGGCCATATGACACTTTATCTAACCATCTATAGTTCTTACATTCTCATCCTTTGTAATACACTGATAAGTTTGTCAGTATAACTAAAGTGATTGTGGTTAAAGTAGACTATTTGGAGAAACTTGAAGTGATTATGAAACTAAGTTGACAAGTTCATTTGTAATATACCTTTGTTACTCATTAGTTGAATCTTTCAAGTTTCCCAGTTGAACTGTGGTCCTATACGGCTTCCTCTCATGATGAGAGACAGAAATGTTTCAATTTAGATGCCTCCTTTATTTGTCATATTGGTTTGTTGAGACCTACATATGCTGGGTTGTATAGGTACGGCGCACAGATGTTCTCTCTGCTTGGAGTGGAATCCGGCCTTTGGCAACTGATCCAAATGCGAAGAACACAGAGAGCATTTCAAGGGATCATGTTGTGTGCGAAGATTTTCCTGGTTTGGTCACGATTACTGGTGGAAAGTGGACCACATATAGAAGGTAGCTTTATGTTATTCTGATTGGTTCCTTAATAATGATATAAAAAAAGTAAAAAACCAAGCAACCCTTTTATACCTATCTCCAAACCTTTTATTGTTTTAATTGTTGGTAGCTGGACTAGTGATTTCAATTCTCAAATCACTCACCACGACTATGGCTGTTCAAATATTATCTCTCATTTTTGTCTTTTGCCTACTGTGCTTATGTTGGCATCTGCTGTGTTAGTATTGTGCTAAAATATTACCCAATTTCAGCATGGCTGAAGATGCAGTCAATGCAGCTATCAAGTCTGGAAAGCTGAACGCAGCAAACAGCAGTTTGACGTCCAACATACGTCTAGTGGGTGGAGATGGATGGGATCCAGCATTTTTCACCGTGCTTGCTCAAGAATATGTGCGAATGAAGGTGGGACATAGTGGTAAAATTGTTCCTGGAGTTATGGATACTGCTGCTGCTAAGCATTTGTCTCATTCATATGGTACCATGGCTGAAAGAGTAGCTGTCATAGCACAGGTTTTCCCCTTATCTAAACTCTAAAGTACATGTGCCAAATTATCTTGTTGCCAATTACATATTAGTAAGAGGTTTGTGCTTCCCAATTCCCATGGCATTATTCTAAATCTCTTTAGAAATTCTGCTGCCTGAGATGTGCACTAATGTTTAGAAATAGTATCTGTTTCTGTGGAGCTTCTTTCAAATACTATTTGGGATTAGGAAACATTAGGATTCAAGAAGTGAATTCATCCAGTTGAAGTACTCTATAAATAAGATGTTGATATATAATATGTGGTTGCCCTTTTATATATTTAAACGACACATTCTTTTTCCTTCACTTTGACTTATACCAGTAGGATGTGTAGATGGAACTGCTGTGAGAAATGCAGGGATGTTTCATGTTTGTACTAGATTCTCTACGTTTTCATGAATTTCTTTTGTAGATGTTTGATCAACTATCTTCCAATTTCCATATCTATGATCTAGAAGCAAAATAGTTTACAATGAAATTTATTTTTCATTTTAGTTACCAAGTCCAACCTGAGAGTAATAAGGCAAATTTGTGCCCAGGAGGCATAAGCAGTTGCTAATGACAATATCACTTGCAAGACTAAAAAGATGTGCTCTGCTATTGTTGACATTCTGGCTGATAGAAAGCACCCTTCAGTTTAAGAACTTTGACTTTTGTGGTTATATGACTTGGCTCTTAATCCAGAATTTCAGGATGAGAGAACAACACCTTTGTTTTTAATAGTACTTCTCTGTCCCATGAAAATTGCAGTGGTAAAATATTTCTAGGGTTAATTTCGTCTTTTTAAATAGAAGCTTTTTAGATTGTTTTGAACATAGATTCTTAAAGTTCTGAAGAAAAGTTTAATAGGCTGTCTCCAAATGTTGTGTGCCGAAAGATGAATGTTGCAATTTTTCATGGGACAAGTGATTCATTTTGTTTGACATGGTCCACTTTTTTCCTTTACTTCAGAATTAAATCAATATACATTATCTGTTGTATTTGCCAAATCATCTATTTGATCACATTGTAGAGTGAGGCTCTGTATTTGATTTGGGAGCTGAATGGATAGACTTCTGTTTTCAAGAAGGTCAACTGATTTCCCAATCCACAGCCTTTGTTTGTAGATTACAGCTGCCCTAGCATGTGGCTGTTGGAGAAGTTTTGGATGCCATTATCATAACATTAACATTTACCGAACTACCGATGTACTCTGTCCCTTGAAAATTGCAACAGTTTACATTTTAGGATGTCCCATAAAAATTAGAACAGTTTCCACTCGAGGATATTCCATAAAAATCTAACATTTTCTTGTTGGAAGTTTTTTCGGTTGAAGTTATCTATTCGCACATTTTCATCATTGCAGAAAATTGATGAAATTTCCAATTACTGACACTTCCTTAGACCAAGTGCACGTTTAAAAGTTCCTCCTTTCATGGAATAGAGGGAGTATCATTTTTCTACAGTTTTGATGGTTTTTATTAACACAGCCCCTCCTGAACTTATATCTTCTGAAATCTGACTGCCTAATGGTTTTACTGAGCTTCTTTATCTACACTTATTCTTGTAGAATGAAAATCTTGGCAAGCGGCTTGCCCATGGGTACCCATACCTTGAAGCTGAGGTTGCTTATTGTGCTCGAAATGAGTACTGTGAATCTGCAGTAGATTTCATTGCTAGAAGATCCCGACTTGCTTTTCTCGATACTGATGCAGCAGGCCGAGCACTGCCCCGTGTGATTGAGATATTGGCGGCTGAGCACCATTGGGACAAGCGAAGGCAGAAGCAAGAGTCCGAGACAGCAACAAAGTTTCTTGAATCTTTCAAGTCATCAAAGAATGCTCAATTTCATGATGGGAAGCATACATAATGAGATATTTTAACAGTCATTCAGTCATCACTGGTATGAATCGGTTGTTTATTGCACTTTAAGAATTAGCTAAAAAGGGTCCCTCACAAAATGACCAACTTTTTCCAAATTAGCACAAACTAGCCGCACTTCCCACAAAAAACTCTAGCAAAAACCCACTTTTCCTGGCTGTTCTCAGGGGCTCCATGAGATAAGTTGAGGCGCGCGCAAGTTGGCCAGGACATCCATAGTTACAAAAAAAACCTTTTTTCAAATTTCATTCATTTTTGTGGGCCAATTCGCAAAAAAAGGTGCGCAAAAACCTCTTTTTTGCAAAGCGGGCAACAAAAATTGAATAAATTATCCCAAAAACTACATTTTGCAGAAAGAAGGTTTTGCTCAGTGTTTTTGCAACATAGGTAGCTATTTTTTGTTAATTTGGAAAAGTTGGTCATTTTGTGATGTTCCAACTCCAATTTTTGGCTATTTTTGTGAAATGATGTTTTTAGTGATTACTGATTTAAAAGAGATGTTTTTTTAGTGTACTTCAATTTGTTCTCTGTTGTAGGGTTGTAATAAGTCGAACCCAAGGAGCTGGAATGCCAGTTTGTTCTTCAGCTGGATGCTCACCTTCCTCTATGCAGCCAGTATGTGGTTATAGCTCATAATAAGCTCGTCCGATAAATATTCTTCGACTCGTTAATTTTAGCAATGCTTGGTAAATAATGTTCTTTCGTGGTTCATTGAATCATGGACCGGACTACCCTTCGGAAAAATATGGTTCAAGTTGATGTTTTTAGGTTACAAAAATAGGCCATTTTCATCCTTTGAGTTCACTGCAAATCATCATAGGCAAATGTTTAGTTGCACTGGCTTTTGATTGGTTTTGTTCATCCCATATAAAAACGGTAACTTGTGACATTTGGTCATGTGTTTCTACCAGATTTTCAATAAAATGAGAACAACTTTGTGATCAACCAATTGGGGAAGTTGAATATGATCTTAGGCCAAAACTCTCATCCATCTTAGCAATGTTTTCAAGGTCATTCACTGTCTACAAAAGAAATATTTTTAAGTCAAAATTAACAAAGTTTGATTTAGTTTCTATTTAAGTGTAATATATAGTTTTTTCTCAATTGACGTGATAAAATTTCAGAGTTTTCTATTTTATATCTATCTTCATCAGTATGTTGATGATCTTGTAACATTTGATGACGTGGATATTCATTTATGAAAGGTTTACAAAACTACTTATAACAAGGTTATGGCAAAGTGGATGCTAGAACTTGACACCCACATAATCAAATGTTACAATTACAGTAGAAAATTTTGTTACATAAATAGAAAATTTTGAAATCTTGTTGCATGAATATGAAAAAATTGTTTGTTACCTTAAATAGGAGATAAAGGCAAAATTTGTTGATTATTCCTTAGAGAGATGTTTGGTTCTTAAAATATTTTTAGAAGAAATGAAATCTTTCAAAGTAATTAGAATTTAATGAATTTGGAATAATAAAATTGAATCCGACGTTCTCTTGACAACAAAACTCAATTTACTATAATTTGGTGATTTTCTAATTTAAATTTATATAATTTAAATATTGTTATCAATTAACCTTATTCGTTTAAATAAATGTTAATTTTTATAATTTTGACATAAATTTAGTAATAATGATGAATAAATATGTGAAATTGTATAATTTTTTATATAAATTCAACACTATAATATTTTAATGGTAAAATACACATTTTAAACAAATTCAGACATCTATCAAGTTATAAAAACAAATAATTTTATTGGTTCAGATTTTAGACTTTAAACATCGTCTCTTATTACAAAAGATGAAATGAAACTTCAGATTTTAACACTTTTTACCTCAATGAACATTATTTTCAATCAATGCATACATTTATCAAACTTCTTAGCAATACTATCTCAGAAGAGAAGGATGGATGGTCAATTGGCACTTGTAATTTTTTTTTTTAAATTAATTTTTATAGTTTTTTATTATTATTATCTTTTAATTATAATAAGTAACTTTTAACTATTATAATTCTTGTTATTGTAGTTTTTTATTATATAAACCATAGACCGATCCATGATTGACAGTGAAAGATTTATGAAATGAACAAAAAAAGGAAAACTGACGTGACAAAGTTACGAGCCTCTAAAAAAGTTCATGATTATATATGCTATGAAAATAAATTTAGGGTTTGTTTAGTTTGCATATAGGAAATGAAGACTATAATGAGCATCATGTTACGGCTGTTTGATCAATATTGAAAATCAACAAATTTTTGGTCCTCTGGTCGTCTATAAATTCGATTTATTTAATAGACAAATGACATCAATTGAAGAACTTGTTTTCAACAGTTCTATTTTGATGTTTATGACACGACATTTACATAAATTATGTTAAGAATTAAATAGAGTTTCTTGTGCGCAAAACTGTCATACACTCTGTATCAAAAAACATAATACGTTTTCTTAAGGAAAATCAGAATAAAGTATGCTCCATCGTTTACAAATTTATCATTTATTAAATAAAACTTCTTAATTATTTGCATTATATTATTTTAAAAGAATTCAAATTTGGATAAAAAAGTTGGCTATTGACAATTTCGACCGATCTCATGCAAGACATCAATATAAAAAGATATTTTTTTACTCATTCAACAGTTAAAAAAATCCCAACTACTAAATAATGCTTTAAATAATTTTTTTTTTCATAAATCTATACTATATTATAAAACATTTAACAAAAACTCTTAAAAACAATTTTTTTATGCATAAAGTACTGTTTATTGATTCATATTACTTAAAATTCAAAATCACAAGCAATTTATGCGTAAGTACAATTTATTAAAACTTCATTTTTGAATTTATGTAACTAACGATAGATAAACATAATCAAAAACGGGATAAACATCTCATTTTGAATATAAAATATGATTAAGACGATGATTAGTTATAACAAAATACTTAATTATTATCTTTATATAATTATATTATTAAACGATAATAAATTACTTCTTTATTAAGTCTAAATTAAATTATAAATAAAATATTGAATTAAAAAAATTACACAAAAACCAAAACTTTAAATAGTAAATTTGATATTATATAACTTTTTTTTTCCAAATTTTTAAGATATATTTGAATTTATATTTTATTTAAAAATAAAAATATTATCATTTTCTCAAAACCACTAAAACCGTATTATATCGACATAAATAATAAATTGCGATATATCTCGTTATATTAGGCAAACACCCTTTTAATATATATATATATATATATATATATATATATATAAGCGATCAAATGAAAACCACTTCAATTTGTAAAAACCGTAAAAACTACTCTCATCCGTCGTTAATGTTATGAAATTTTTTTATGAAATTGTTTCATATAATATTTTTTTTGATGAAGTTGTTTCATATGTGGTTATAAAATTGTTTCATATACTACTTAATGAAATTTTAATGAAACTGTTTCATGTATTTCTCTAAAATTAAAATAATAAAGATGATAATATCCATGATTAACACTCTCCACAATAAAAATGGTTAATCAACCTCTCATAATTACAAAAAAAATGAACAAAATGTAAAATTATAATTGGTTGAATGAGGTTTTCACGGTTTTTACAAATTGAGTGGTTTTTATTTGAACTCACCCCTATATATCTATATATCTATATATCTATATATATATATATATATATATATAAAAGATTAACACAAAATCATATTAAATTTATTTTTAACATAAATAATTTATGTTTTTTATATAATAATAAAAAAATACCCTAAATCATTTAAGCTTTGACGATGTAAAAGTTAATGAGATTGTGAGGGAGAGGGTGAGGGCAATACAAATATATGCATGTGGGTGGGCACATGCACCTCCATTATTGTCATTAATAATTCTACATAAAAACGCATTACCTGTAATCATTTATATTTCTATTTTTTATATACAATTTATTAAAAATCATATTTTTTATTCTTATCCATGATTTTTATTTTTATTTTTTTTAAACGATACTTGTTCAATAGTTTATGATCTAAACCAAAAATCGTATGAGAATAAGAGGCATGATGAGAACGGTGAAAATACTTCTGAATTTTTGGATGAATTGTTTTTTTTAAACTTAAATTTTTTAACTATTTTCAGTACCTTCAATTACTTTCAACTACATTTATCTTTATTTATTTTTTAAGTTTTATGTATATTTAATTATTTTACATGTATAAATCTGTTTAAATTTCGGTTATTATGATACAATAGGTAAATAAAGATAATTGAATGTGTATGAAAGTCTTGTCCTCTTTTTCTCATTGTAATTGTTACTGTAACTGGAACCTGATTATTATGATTTAAAAGGTTGTATATTTAAAAAATTGAAAATATTCGCATTAAACTTTTTACATTTGTACAACCAATACAATTCAATCTCAACCGTCCATTTAATTTGATGAATATGTGATTTCATAAAAAAATTAATTATTTTCTAATATAAAGTATTGATCATATTTAATGAACCCTAGTCATCTTTCATAAATATTCAAATCATAGTAAATGAACTCTCATCATTTCCATAAATATCTCAATTGATTGGGTTGCATTGGTTGTACAAATGTGATGGGTTGCATTTGATACGTTCTCTCGCTCTCTATCTATACATATATATATATATATATATACACACACACAAAAATAAAATCGTGTGAAAATAATAGTTAAGATGTGAAGTGTAAAAAGACATTGGACACTTGATGATTCTCTCCAATTATGATTGATCTAAAAGTAAATATCCGCTGTTATCTTTCTGAACATAACTTCAAAACTCACTGAAACCCAACTTTGCATATATTATAATATATATATATATATATATATATATATATATTTATACTATATTATAAAGCATTTGACAAGAACTTTTAAAAACCATTTTTTTATGCATGAAGTACTGTTTATTAATATATATTATCTTAAAATTCAAGATTACAAGTAAATTTGCGTAAGTACAACTTATTAAAGCTCCATCTTTKAATTCGTATAACTAACTGCAGATAAATATGATCAAATACATGATAAACATCCATTTTTAAATATATAAAATATAAAATATAATTAAGATAATCATTGAGTTATAATAGAATGTTTTATTATTAACTTTATAACAAAATTATATTATTAAAACAAAAATAAATTACATTGTTATTAAATCTAAATTAAATTATAATAAAAAATTGAATTCAAGAAGTTACATCAAAAAAACGAGAACTATTAAATTTATATTTCATTAAAAAATAAAAACATTATTACTTTCTCAAAACCATATAAAATCGTATTATATCAATAAAGACAAAAAAATAAAAACTAAATAATAAAATCAAGATTTATCTCGTTATATTATACGAGTAACCTTATAATATATATAAATATACATAAACATATGTTTAATAACTATTATTTAATAAGTTAATAATATTAAACACTTTAGATTAAGTTATATATAAAAACTAAAAGTAAAGAAGATGAGATACATAGGGTGTTTGAGATTGTTTATTTGAAATAACTTATAATTTTCTACAAAAGTCTCTATCAACTTATTATAAGAATATAAGTTACAATGATTTAACTTTTTAATTTTTTTTTTATTATCAGTTTGATACCAGTATAAGTTATTTACAAACACTCAAAAATATTTATTACCGATATCACACCAAAATAAATCAATAAATTATTTTTATAAATAATCTCAAAACACGTCTAAATACAATCACAAATATCATTAAGTTGTGGGTTAATAATTGTTGTCTTCTAAATTTGTGCAATATTTGAACGGGTCAAAGATGATAGCAACAACAATACAAACGCCAAATGGACCCCTCAAACAATGTAAGGCGGGAACGGGCAGGCAAGACACACACGCACCGCCGTCCATCCGGCCGGCCGGAGTTTCAACGTACAAATCTTCTCTCTCTTACTGTCTCCATCACAGTCACGAGAAATTTTGTTCATGCTTGTGCACACTCTTCCTATCGTGCCGGCCTCTTCTATCTGACAGATATGCATGTATATATGTTTTCTCTCTCTAGGATTTGGAGTCGAGGACTGCAGAATTAATGGCTTCCGGTGCCAGAATGCTGAACAATAGTCACACTAGGTATGAGAAACAGCACGTCACACCACCTCCTTCTACTAGAATTGTTGGCGGTGGAGGTGTTGCCTCCGTTCGCTCTAAAACACCGTCTTCTTCTGCTTCCAGACGCTCTGTTACCCCCAACTCTCGGTCTCACGCTCGCCTTAGCGACGAAGACGCAGGTACTTTCTATCAATCTGTCTGTCTATCTATATGCGCACTCCCACTTAGTGTACCTTCCTTTGTGTGGATGATTATGCTTTTGGGGGATGAAGATAGAAATGGAAAATGTGTGATTATTCGTGTGCAGAAATGCAATCAGTTGCTGCTGCATTTTGCTTTTTGCATAGAACGGATTTATGCTTAATCTGACGTATACTTCATTTGTTCCACAGAAATTGCACGAATTTCAGTTTTGGATGTTTCATATTGGTAGATAGATCTCCCTTTTTGGCAAGACTTTAAGCTAAAGGACCTAGTTTGCTGGCATTGTTTTCCTTGCGTAGTACTTGCAGATTTGCTTTAGTTTGAAACCTAAGAGTTCCATTTGTAATATTACCCCCGTATTTTGTTTTGATGAACAGGTACATAGTCAAACTTTTCTACTCATATACATGAAAATTAGTTGCAAATTACATGGGGACAAAGGGAGCAGACATTATGCAAGTTTATTTGGAATAACTTGGGACTTCTAACAGAAAAATGGAATCGCCAAATAGAAATACTAGCTTAAGTAAAGTAATCTAATGTTCTATGAAAATTGAAAATTAATGCTTAGCATGTTCCCTAGAAAGAGAGATGCAGTTGGACTTTTGAAATCAGGTGAACTTGCTTTTAACTTCAAACATCCTGTGATTTTTTTATGTTCCAGGAAACAGTATTTGCTGACCAGGACAAATTATGTGACAAATGTTACAAATAGAAAAATCTTATGCCCCATTGGCTAGTTATATGTTAAATTCATCTAAATTTATTTGGAATTTAAAAGTACTCACTGGGTTTGACTTAAATGTTACAGTTTAGTTCTTCTTGTGAAACAGAGGGAGTAGCCAAATAGGGAAAAAACTTCATTTTAGGAGTTGCTATGAATTATAGTTTAGGTATTATCAGGATAGGGGTTGTGGTAGTTGCAAATTTGAAACTGTTATCAGAGTACATTTAAAGATTTTCACCGTTAAAGATGTCATAGGATGTAAATTACTTATTTTAGCTTTAATGTGTTCTAGTTTTTAATCATCCACAGACTATGAACACTCAAACAATTTATGTTAAGGAACATAAGCTAGTATCCACCTATCCTTCCCCTAATTCGTGGAAGTCACAGATTATTATACCTTTTGATCTACATTTTGGGATTCGTACTGGAGCACTTTTTAAACTCTTATGGGCCGCGTTTAGCATCTTCCCATTGACATGGATGTGTGTGTTTATTTGTATTTATACTTCCCATAAGCGAGCCTGGGGACTCTCCAGCTGTTTGATGGTTTCTTTCACAATTCTTCTGTAATCTGTGGTTGCTTCTCTAACATAAAGCATATTTTTGAATTGCTATTCTGGAGTACTTTTAGATGGCCTTTCGATGGAAGAAAGGTTAGTAATTTCACAGAAAGTTTTGATAAAATTCAAACACATTTCAAATTAGTGTCTGATTGGCTAATGACTAAGAGTATTGGTTGGGACTTGCAATGTTCAGATAGTATATGGAGGGTCTTAAATTTGTCTTTTCCACAGAACCTGGAAGAGTGAGAGTTGCTGTTAGGCTACGGCCAAAAACCACAGAGGAACTTTCAGATGCTGATTTTTTCGATTGCGTAGAACTTCAACCTGAGGTGACCACAATTTTCAATTTTGAAAAATGTTATTTTCCACAGTTTTATATATTGAAGACCATCTCTCTCTCTCTCTCTCTTCCTCCACACACATAAACCCATCCACCCACTCACAAGTCACATGGTCATCTGACTTGTTTGTAACATCTCATTTCATTATGCATGGTTCATTACTTGTTCAAATAGCATCCTTTGGATTAGTTGAAACTACTTTCCCTCATGCAGCTTAAGAGGTTGAAGTTGAAGAAAAATAATTGGAGTTCCGACTCTCACAGATTTGATGAAGTATTTACAGAATCTGCTTCTCAAAAGCGTGTCTATGAGGCTGTTGCAAAACCTGTAGTTGAGGTAAATGAGTGTTGCTTGATTTCTGCAAACTTAATCTGTATTGCAAACAGATAGCATTACTTTGAATACCACATTCTTTTACTGTTACAAATCGTTTAAACTATACTGTACTCTATGCTCTTTAAAGATAGAAGAATAGCTTAGGATATCATTGAGTTGGGATGTATTGTTGGTGTAGGTTGAACTGTTAAAGTCAATAATGCTTCTCAGCCGACTTTTTTACGATAAGTAAAAGCTTTCATATCATCACCAAAGTTCTTGATTTTATTTCTGCAGGGTGTGTTGAATGGGTATAATGGAACAATTATGGCTTATGGTCAAACAGGAACTGGCAAGACTTATACACTTGGCCAATTGGGCAAGGATGATGCATCCGAGCGAGGAATCATGGTTAGGGCTTTGGAGGACATCATTGCTAGTGCATCTCCAGCATCTGATAGTGTGGAAATCTCCTATCTGCAGGTATTACCAAGGTTTAGTCATTTAGCTTTTTTTGTCAATGTTATTTCATAATTTGAGTAGTTCAATGTTTTTCCTACGGAATGAGTCGTCATCCCTCTTTATGCAATCAACTTTTGTGGCATAATGTTATGTCTGTCAAGTGCTTGGATGCATCCTAAGACTAAGACATGCCTTCTTGATCGAAGTAGTTAAGTTTGAAATGGAACATTGGTATGAAAGCATTTATCCAGTAGCCATATTGGAACGCATACCGGTGAAGCTATGACTTGTTGGCCATTCAAAGACACTTTTAATCATACAAAGACTTTGAATGTACTAAAGAGGCAGAGGGATTGTCCTCATGCATGAGTTGCTGCTAATTTACTTTGTATTGTGATATTATGTAGAGAGGACAGTCAAGAATATTCGGGATCCTTCATAGAAAGTTTCTTTGGAATGATATAAAATTATAAATATACAAGTTTGGTATGTGGCTGCACAGTGAAAATCTAAAAAAGGAGTTAAAAGATGAACAAAAAAATATACGAAAAGTGAGCTTTGTTGCTCACACGTCTGATAATAAAATTACCAAGTGAATAATCTGGCCTATTAGAATTTCCGAACAACTAGTGCCCAGAGAGATGGTGCTTCCATTTAGCACTTATGTTTTGAAGATCATTGATATACAGCATGGGTTATTTAATTGAAAACAACTAAATAACATGTATTATTGGTCTGAAGCTTGTTTTCAGATATCATGGAGTTATCTTATTTTCATTAATTATTGAATGATCCTTCTTCTATTATCTGTTACTTACGCATAATCGTTTAACTATTTTATTAATGAGCCCTACTATAGCACCCTTTAGCTTGCAAATGCTGCTTCAAGGAATTGATACATGCCCTGGTTGTTGTAACAGATCTATATGGAATGTGTTCAAGATTTACTTGCACCAGAAAAGGTGAACATTCCAATTGTTGAGGATCCCAAGAAGGGGGAAGTGTCAGTGCCTGGTGCAGCAATTGTCAAAATTCAAAACGTGGACCACTTTTTGCATTTACTGCAAATTGGAGAAGCAAATCGCCATGCAGCAAACACAAAGATGAACACTGAATCTTCTCGTAGCCATGCAATTCTTATGGTACGTGTTATGAGAAAATTGTAACTAATACTTATTAAACATCTAAACACTGAATTTGGCCTGATACCTTGAAGGTACTTTAATTTCTTATACACTTGGCTCCAGGTTCTTCCTTAAGCTGGGACAGGCACATTTGCCTCTTAGCCTTGTAACTTTTAGTCTCCACATACTAACAAGCACATACTGATTTTTGCTCATTTTCTACAGGTATCTGTTACCAGATCTGTTGATGATAAAGAAGAAAACAATACATCTTCTCCAGGGAAAGATGACAAAAGTGTGTTAGTTGGTGGCCATGTGATACCGACTATTCGAAAGAGCAAGCTACTTATCGTTGATCTTGCAGGTTCTGAGCGCCTAGACAAATCCGGTATGTTGCATATGAACTCAGATACTATACTAGACCTTATACAATAGTTGGCTCTTTGCTACAAACAAACTATCAGTTTTGCAAAAATACAGAGAGCAATACTTTACAAGAATGAGCAATTTTCAACAAAAAGGATCACATATGATGTTTTTTTTTGCATTTATATTTCCAGCGTTTGTCTGAAAGTGCTCATTTTCTTTCAAGGTGTAGTGTTTTTCTGCAAAAATAATGGTTTGTTTGCAACAAAAGACCAAGCATGATGATCTAACATAAAGTTCAGGGTTGTCTATATGATTTTCCTGTTTAGTCAGTATCTCGGGTTTTGGCCTAGCGTATCTCACCTGGGTTTTTTTTCTTTCAGTTCAATATAAATGATTATCATTTAAAAAAAGTATGATGATCAGATTAATTACTCTCGTCCAATTTTTTTTTCTTTTTTCTCCTTCCCTATGATGGTAGTTAGCACCATATCAATGTAGACTAGTTAATACTAAACAACCAATAATCAAATTATTAAGTTATTGTGACTGGTTTTAAATTGGGATACCTGTAGGTTAATTTGTTTCTTTAAGGACAACATTCGCATTTCTTGGGAATGCATAAGCATATAATCCCAGTTGGAAATTATGTTCTGGTTGTGAATGCTGCAGGAAGTGAAGGTCACTTGGTTGAGGAGACAAAATTTATCAACCTCTCTCTTAGTTCCCTTGGAAAATGTATAAATGCGTTGGCTGAGAATAGCCCTCATATACCCACCAGAGATTCCAAGCTAACGAGATTGCTTCGTGACTCGTTTGGAGGTAATCGTGCTCTGCCGGTCATATTCTGCTTTTACTTGCTCAAATATATTCACTTGTGAATAGCAGTCATGTTCATGGTCAGATCTATGGCCTATAGTGCATGGTGACTATATTGGCATGTTTCTTCTCTGACATATCTGAATTATGTCGATGCTTTTTTCTTTTGATTAACCTGGATATCCAACCCGCTATATGAGCCGACTAATCCCAGGGCAACCACCTGCTTTGCAGGTAGCCCGGAGTCACCGCATTTGAACCTCCGTGGCCACAAGGGGATTTTTATTTCTCCTTGGATTTGAACCTGGGACCTCCGGGCACTTTTGACCTTTGGAGCCCAAGCTCAAACCAATCAGGCACCACCCCTGTGGTTTATTATGTCAATGCTTCCATACCTTTGTGTCTGCTTTCCTGTGATTTATTTATAGTGCATAGTTATAATTCTTCCATTCCCTGTAAATCGTTGAGATGACTTCTGGTTTATGATATATATGATGGTGGAGTAGTGGAGATCCAACCTTTAGCCAAGGGTGGTGTATATTTTACTGTTAGAACATACCTTATAAATGCTTTTTTTCTTGTGTATTTACTTCTTGCTACTGAATTCATCAAACCCCGAACAGGCTCGGCGAGGACCTCTCTTATAGTAACGATTGGTCAATCTTCTCGACATCATACAGAAACCTCAAGCACCATAATGTTTGGACAACGGGTAAGTTGGATTTCCATGTAGTGTTACAATTATTACTTCTTAGTTCTTATCAAATTCTGTTGTGAATGATTGTTGATTTGTGGCTCACTTCATGTCCTCCAAATAAACCATGAAAATATAAACGACCATAGTTGTGGTAAATTTATTTTTCTTGCAATCTACTCAGGCCACATGTATATACTATAACAATGCGTAATTTTGATGGAATGTTGACTGGCGATGATTTAATAGTTGATATTCTTGTGAACAGTTCAGTATCTAGAGTCAACCTATTTTTTTGGATGATACGTTTTTTGAACTTCTCTACTTCATAAGTCGATTTTGTTGCCTCTCTACTTCAGTTTTGGATGATACGATTGATTGGTTTCGGGCGATTCAGCACGATGTGAAAACTCGAATAATTGATTGGAGATCATCTTAGCATTTCTTTGTAATACATTGTAGTTGTTACTGTTGGTATTGGTATCTCTTGTAGGCAGCATGAGTGCATGTCTGTTCTTGCATCAGCATACGTAGATTATATGCTTCCTATATGGATTAGTTTAATACTGTTCTTGTTGTAAATCAAGAATCCCCCATTTGCAATTAATCCCAAATTAGGTCCAAATCAATTCACAATATCCCCATCAATGAACTAAGTTCAAATATCGAGATTAAGGTTGTATTAGCTAACGATACCATCAACTAAGCATAAGCAATCGATAAGGAAACCCAAGTAATCAAAGTAAAGCAAAGGGAGATGGTGACACCGGAGATTTTATGTGGAAAACCCGAAAAGGGAAAAACCACGGGTGGAGAACTAATGGTGAAGATTACTTCAATAATGGTGAAGAAATCAAACTTTCAGGAGCTTAGTTCGGTTAGGAGAGAAGCAACAAGTATATTATGAAGATATAATGAGAAGAGACCTGAAATTGGACTAAAATCCCACATGCAAGACCAAGCTAGCCAGCAAGCTCGCCATGTCCAGCAATAGGCCTACACAACCTCAGCAATGCTAGGGCAGCTCGCGTTCATCACCTCGAAAAACTTGTACTGAATATCCTCCATCCTATGCGATCCATTCTGTGATATCCAATATAGCATGGCCAGGTAGCATAGAATAAAACATGCTGAAAACACTTGGATTTAAGGCACAGCTTCACAATTCTCCACCTTGACTTCAATCCAAGCAAAAACACCAAACAGTTCTTGATACATTGAAGAATTTAAATATTCATATTTCTGCTCCTTATTATCCTCCTTACAACTTACTGCTTGAGCAGGCCATGAAAGTAGTAAACTTTGTAAAGCTAAAAGAGGAGTTTGATTATGAGAGCTTGTGTCGCAAACTTGAGAATCAAATTGATATACTCACGGAGGAGATAGACAGGCAACAGAAATCTAGAGCAGACAACACGATAAGACTGGAGAATAATCTCAGAGAGTGTCAAAATAGCTTTGAGGAAGCAGAAAAGGCTTTACTTGCAAGGTGTGAGGTATATTTCTCTCTTTCTGGTTTATTCTTTGAATATTATTTGACAAATCTCTCTACAACTCGCTGTTGACCTTCTTCAGACATCTAGAATGTCCATTTACTATTTTTCAAATGAGATCATGTTTCAAGAAGTTGGCTCTTCCAGCATCCACCATTTCTAATACATATGACCTTTCTGCCTCTCACGCTTGGACTCAGTTGTTAGACAAGGATAAATCTCGCTTGGAATCAGAAATAAAAGATATTCTAAAGGAGTTGAATTGCCAGAAAGACCACAATGATCTAGTTTGCCAAGAGGTTGAGAGTCTACAAAGAAGCTTGAAGCGTTGTGAGGTAATCCAAATGTTGGCCATATGCAATATACAGTGAGCTGCAAATTTGTCTTTCCTTCTAACAGACTCTATAAGTTTGACGTTGCTTGCAGTTAATAGAGAAGGAGAAGGTTCATCTGGAATCAGAAATGAAAGATGTGTTGGAGGAATTAGATTTTCAGAAGAATCAGAACAATTTGATGCATGATGAGATTGCACGACTGGAACTGGGCCTAGAGCATAACAAGGTGTTTGCACTAACAACTCATTATCCATGCTATCTTTTAGATATCAAATGTCTGAGATTTTGTCCAGTCGTTCTGTGATATCTGATTTAATGCCAGATTATATTTCCTTTGACACATTTTACTGCTTCTTGTATAATTTTAATGTTTCTACGGTTAGTTGTTTCTAAATTAATAAAAAGCAATAATATTTATGCCATGTCTAAAACAGCACTTTTCTGACGAGACAAGATTAACAACCACGCAATGATTCAAAGTTCTCGATAATCTGCTTAATAGAATTCATTCTATAACATGACTGGAGCAATTCAATGTATAAGCAACAACCATTCTAGTTTTACAAGAATTATTGTGGTAGTTACATATTAGAGCCCCTCCATATAACAGTTTATGATGCATACATCATACATTATTTGGTCTATTACATGCCTCCTTGTCACACACAGAAAATCAATGAAAACATTAAGGCATGTTAGGCCTGCATATGTACTTGGTTACCATCCAGAGGTGTTAGTCCTGGATAGTCGCACACCCATGTAATATGGATTAGTCCCTCCTTTCGACATTATATATAGAGGTGTTCCCAGTATACACTGCTAAATCAGTCTAACCTTATATTTTACCTGTTATTATAACGCACAACGATATCTTAAGATTGTTATATAGGTAGTATTTTGCTGGCAGAATCACATAATGGGTATAAAAATATGATTTCAAAGTGAAGACAGAAAGAAACTAACGTGTTTTATTCTTTAAGAGGTGATCTTACAATTATGTGAAAGCACATACATAATTTATCCAATAATGATATCAAGTGAGGAATGCTTGGTCATTTCCCACATGCACTCGTCAACTGGAGCAAGTGGTAACTTACAATATAAGTAATTTTTTTTAAGAGAAGTTCATATGAATTTGAACAAAAATAACCTCTCTTCTTACGGAATCTAGAGATCCATACTTCCAGCCAACTAAAAGTTTCACTGTAGTCTAATTAGCATCATTGCCTTAATTGCCTCAATAGTCTTTTTGATACTGCTAATTGGAGTTGCACTTGTTTACTTGAACACAAATATTTACACTATTCTCTTGGATGCTAGTAGCAATATCAGGTTGAAACATCTGCATACCAGAAAGTACTTGCAGACACAACTCAGATGTATGAGAAGAAAATAGCTGAGTTAATGTCAAATTTAGACGATGAGCGAGATCGGTCAAGCGGTGTTGAGGAACAGTTAGATTCAATAAAAAATATACTAACTGATCATCAAAAGTCGATGGAGGTTTGATCCATTTTGTTCAGCGTAATCAATGTTTATATTCCCTATATGCTCTCAGAAGATGCAAACTTTATCATAACCCTGCGTTTTCATCTTTCAATAGCAACATCAGATTGAACGTTCTACGTACCAGAAGGCACTTGCCGAAACCACTCAGATGTACGAGCAAAAAATTACAGAGTTGGTAATGCAACTGGAGGACGAGCATGCTCGGTGCATTGGTTTAGAAGAACAAGTGATTTCACTAAAGAAAGCTTCAAGCAATCGTCAGATTTCACTGCAAGTAAGTTCTGGATGCACATGAAGAACTAATGACTTCCTTAGCTTCTTCAGATTTATTATGACAAGTGATTTTTATGATAGTTATCTAATTAATTGGCAAAGGGGACATCCATAGAGTAGGCATAACCTGACATGACTATGGCAATCAACAATTGTGAATTTGTAATCTAAAGGACCAATTAATTGTGCAATTGCAGGTTGGTATGAAGATTATATGTTCAGCTTCATTGATAAACCAGTCTGTTCTGCAGTGCTTTGTTATTAGTCAGACTTGCCCTTTGTTTCTACAAGAGTTTATCTAGGCTACAGACCCCTACTCATTTCAGAACAAGCTGGCATGCCATACATGTACACTTCTATTTAGAAGTTCTATTAGCGAAGTATAAAACCTTTTACAAATTTTGTGCATGTAGTGTATCAACTGTTCTGTGGGGGTCTAGCCGTTTAGGGTTCCTTCAGTCATTTACTTGATATGATTGATTCTACTTATGTGCCATGTCATACACTGAATCTTATTATTTCAACCCACATTTTTGGTAGATCATAAGGAAGTTATAATTATCTTCAGCTGTAGTGTTCATGTTTCACACTCTACCTCACGTTCTATATTTTTAACACCAATCTTCTTCTCCGCTTGCAGATCCAAGGGCAAGAGGAGATTGGTGCTCTTAAAATGGAACTACAACAAATGTCTCAGCTGCGTGAAGCAGCTCTAGATGAACTTCAATTAGTGAAAAAGGAACAGAAGAATCTATCATCAGAGAAGGTAACTGGAATGTGAAAAGTCGATACCTCTATTGAACATAGTTTACTCATGACACTCTTTTTTAAGACTCTCAATGATGATTGTGACGTAGGCTAGATTAAGCGATGAACTTCGTACCGTAAGAGAAGCCCTCTCACTTGAGGAAAAACGAAGGAAGGCAGTTGAGAAGGAGCTAAGCAGTATAAAAAATGCTGTACCTGAAAGTGAGGATGAGTTTGAGGTATTGTATACAATGCAATATAAATGGTTGATATTTTCCATTTCAGATATACTGGGATTTTATGTTCAAAATTTCCATAGGATAAGAGACCATCCATGAAAGAAAATAATGCAGGAGGAACAACAATTGGCACCCCATTCGGTCTACATAATTCAAACAAATCAAGGGAGTCAAACTCATTTCAGCGAACCACTATAGCTAAGATATGCGAAGAAGGCAAGTTTGTTCGTATCTGTTCACTCTATCTTATGAATCTGTGGTAGCTAATCCTATCCCTCAAAGATAGAAGGAAAACATAGCAAGTGTCAGGTGTAGTCAGTTTTCAATCTGTTGGAAGGGCAGTTTTAGTTTGGCAATGAAGATTGTCTGCTTAGCTCAAATCACGAAGCTAGTATAGAAAGATTTTGTAAAGCATGTGATTCTGTAGATTAAAGCTTGAAGCCCCATATCTGTTATTGGAGGAAATTAACTGGATTATTTTTGCTTTCTATAGTTGGCCTTCAAAAGATATTGGCACTATTGCAATCTTCTGATCTAGATGTCCAAACTCATGCTGTGAAAGTGGTGGCAAACCTTGCTGCTGAAGGTAGGTGCTATAACGACTTTATTGTTTATGAGATTGTTATTCCTACCATACATTGCAATCTTTATAGGCAAACAGATTGATGTTGTCTTGTTTGTCATTATGTGCAACATTATTATTGTCCTTTAATGCCTTATGTGTTACAATGAGAGGAAGTTATTGAAAAATGTGTGCACCTTTATCCCATCCTTATCTCCCAGTCTAGACTAAAATTTGTGGCAATCCTGGTTTGTAATGGTAGCAGAAGTTTTGGACCATTGGAATATTAGAAGATCTGGACCTGTTTTGATTTTGGTTCCAACTTCAACCCATATAAGGGACTATATGGAGTTGCTCTTTGAAATTTTCACTTTGCAAGTAATGGAGTTGGTGTTGAGTGATATCTAAATCCTTTATACTCTCCAAATTGTGTTAGTGAATTTCTCCGGTTTATCACTTGTCTTTTTCCATCTAAAGTTTCTTCACGTGAATTTGATTTGAAAGAACCGAGTCGACCACTAGAACTTCTAGTCTTAGAGCCAGAAAAAGATAGGTTATTTCCACGAGATTAGCTAGATACACTGCACCATTCATAAGGCCTGGCACATCCATTCTGCTTTGTAAGACAACGTAGGCGTAGTTCGATTTCTTTTGGTTTCAATTTAGCCACCCCCATCTAGTTTGGAATAAAGGCTCATTGGGTTTTCATGTTAATTTGCATATCCTTTTCTTTTATTTTCCCATTTGCTCTTTTTGCAGCAACAAGCTTTTTTGTTAGATCACACAAACAAAAGTAATGAACCTCCTATTGGGAAAAGATATTGAGGAAAGGTCCGAGGGATTTTTCTGCTAGATCAATGCAGATAGTTAGACTAACTCTTTTCTGATAATAGAAAATAAAATATATAAAGAGAAAGGCATACAAACTTTTGTGCCCGCACGATTCTTGATTCCAGAATATCAATAAGAAAATAATTATATCACAATAGTCTTCCTAATATTGTACTACCTTAATTGCTAAACAATGTTGTTCCTATTCTTCTTAAACAGATGATTGCTCTATGTCAAGTAAATAGGTGGTGTAGATGATGTTTATCTATGTAAGCCTCTTTCTAATATTTATTTTACAGATATCAATCAGGAAAAAATTGTTCAAGAAGGGGGTCTAGATGCACTGCTCATCCTATTGCGAACCTCCCAGAATACAACACTACTTAGGGTTGCTTCTGGAGCCATTGCAAATCTTGCAATGAATGGTATTCCTCAATCTATAACCCTCTTTATATGTGTATGCGTGTGCGCCTGCATTTTAAATGCATGATGAATGTGTAGTTGGTGAGATATGTTAGGAAATGATGCTGAAGATCACGCACACAACACGACAACAGTAAAGTAAAAACAAAAAAAAGAAAGAACACAGGATTTACGTGGTTCACTTGATTTGTTTGATTAAGCTAGTCCATGGCCACACTAGTAAGGATTTCATTGATACGACGGCTAGGGGTTACAATTACATAAGATTGAATTTATAGAGTGAAAATAGGTTAAACTCCCACGTGGGCTGGACCCGAGATCTGGAGAGTTTCCTTTCTCTAATATTTGGCCCAACTGCCAATTAATAAGAATCCATAACTTATCAAGATATTTCTCGACTTCCCCATTTTTTATGGTGGTTTTGACTTTAAGTTCGGCTATTCTGTATGTCAATGGTATGGGAGAGGTAGAGAGGTTTTCGATAGAAGAGAAGCATCTGCTGTCTTCTTTCATTTATTCATTGTGAAACTGTATAAAGTCACATCTGCAAACACACTTATCAGAAATGTTGTATTTTGGTAGATCATAGATTTGTTGAGAAAATATTGGATCTGATTCTCCAAGAACCTAATGACAATGATTTGAAAGTTTGATAGTATTATAATGGACCGCACATCAGATGATTACTTCTGAGATTTACTTAGAAAGGTTGATCATTATTATCATTAAACTTTCCAAATTAGATAATCTTGCTTTCAGCAGGGGACATTGAAGAACTGAAATTGTTGTGTAAGCTGATAGTTTGGAAAACAAGAACATCTGACCAACAACCTCTAAATCTTAAAGCATTGTGGCAAAACCTCCGGTTATTGTAATCCTCTTCACATTAAAACGCAATGGGCCTTTCCCATACATCAGCAAGACCTATGTCAACTCTTGAGCCTTGCTCTTGAATCAAGTAGGCACCAACTTGCCATGGTATGCGATCATGGTTGTTTGGGTTAAACATGAAGTTGCTGACCTGCCAATTGAGATACCACCTTCATGGAAGTCTGAATTTGGGAAGTAGTATTGTTAAAAAGTAGATGTGCAAATGCAGGTGGTGGTTTAACTGACAGAAATTTAAGCATGGAAAACAATTCAATGCTATTCTCAAACAGCAAGTGAACTCTTGGTGGAGGGATCTTGAAAGGATGTAATGATGTAAAGAGGAAATTTATGCCAAATTGGACTAGTACATGTAGTATTTATATGTGATTTCAATCTTACAAATTTGAGAAGAAATGCAACACATTAGATAAACTTTTTTTGGTGAAATCCCAGGAATGCAACATTTCTTGAGTTTTCATCATGTATGCTTCTTCATCTTGTCACTGCCACAAGCTAAGGTCACAATCTGTTACTTTTAATAAGCTTTACACATATGTAGTGGTTATTGTAAACCCTAGTTCTTCTTTGCTTATATCCTCACAACTTATGTTTGTTGGTGCAACTGCCATATCAATGATCTTGCAGGCGATAAAATATACTTATGCCAAATTACCTTTTTCTGAAAATTTCCTGTAATGCAGTCAGCATGGCTGCAAGACTTCTACGTTTTTCTGATCTATAGTTTCAGAGAACTGTTGCACAGAATATTGGCATTTGCATCTTATTGAGTGTTATTAATCTTAGAAGTGAATTGGTTAGCACAGATGCTGTCTTAATTCATATCATGCATGTAGCATGCTTGACCTTTTTCTCAATGAACAAATCTTTTTGTTGGTAGAACTGAATCAAGGCTTAATTATGAGTAAAGGAGGTGCTGCTTTACTAGCACATACAGCGTCCAAAACAGACGATCCCCAAACTCTCAGAATGGTAGCCGGAGCAATTGCAAATTTATGCGGAAATGGTAAGCTCTTAGTCTATACAGAGAGCTCTTTTGTTATATACTGGCTTTCAGTCATGAAGTCAAATTAACAATTGAGTTGAAATCTTGCCTCATATAATTCACATAAGGGGACACTTCCAGTGATGAATAGTAAATTGGCTTCCGAGTTGTTGCATTGGAGAGTGTCGGCCATTTTGAGAAGATTTGTATTTTGAGTACTAATGCACAGGTATTTTTCTTTTATGTATCATATCAGAGAAATTACATATGCTGCTGACTGAACAAGGAGGCATTAAAGCACTCTTGGGCATGGTTAGATCTGGAAATCATGACGTCATTGCCCAGGTTGCCAGGGGAATGGCAAATTTTGCTAAATGTGAATCTCGAGCAATAACTCAAGGTTTCATGGTGCAGCTTAGAATGTTAAATAGTTTATTTGTAAAATTTCTTCTATAATCAGATTAGTTGTCAGTAATTTAAACGTAAACTTGGATTCTTTTTAACTTCTGCAGGACACAAGAAAGGTCGTTCTCTTCTAATGGATGATGGTGTCCTTTCGTGGTTGCTTGGCAACTCAAATACTGCTTCAATATCAACCCGGCGTCACATTGAGCTTGCTCTTTGTCATTTAGCACAAAACGGTACACACTTTCGTCATGTTATTTATTTATTTTAATCTAAGAAAAAAGTGCCTGGGTTATGTCCTATTTCTCTTAAGGAAATATAGTTAGGAATGTTAACATCTAGAGTTCAGACTGATTTGGATACCAAACTAGTGTGGTTTTGTGATAATTAACAATGCTTGATCTTCATGGCCACATGGTTCAAGAAGAAGAGGTAGTCAATACTCTTGAATAATTAGTAAACTCTAGCTTATATACTTTTGCATAACCAAAATCCATAAATTTCTTCAAGAGCTGGAATTGGTTCCCTCACCTGAGGTATGGTTTAGCCTTGTGATGGATGCGCACTTGTGGTAGTAGGCCCTGAGTAGGCTTAAAATGTTGGTTGGTTGAATCCTTAAGCATGTTATCTACTAGGATTCCATTTCCTTTTCTGTGGGAAGAAAAAACATTTCATCTTGTTAGGAGAGCATCACACAGTCAGAGTGTGAATTACAAGTGTGTTACAAGTCTTTAGTAGTCACCTACTAATAAGTTTCGACCATAGTTTTAGTTGATAAGAAAGTTATTTAGTTGGTCCACTATTTTGAGCAAGACATATGTTAGAAAAACGAGAGTTGTGGTTCCTCAAGGTGTAGCAAGTTGAGTGCATGAATCTTAAAGGAATGATGTTGGAATTTTGTTTGGGTTTCTACATAGGTTGAGACGAGCACTTCAGGAATTTAAATGGGCGAGTTTTTTATATCCTGTCCCAAATCAGGTGCAAGTGAATTACGAGTTAGTGGTGGGTTACTATTGATCTGAACTTTTTAATTGATATGAAGATAATTAGTGACGTCTCCTTGTGATCTGCTTCATGAACCCTTTTAGATCAACCATATGGGATAATCTTGCATGACTTGGCTTTGCTAAGCTTACCATTTTAAAGACAATTTTATGACATTATTTAGCTTATCTTTACCTTTCATTTTTTGTAAAAAGTAGTCTTCCCCATTCTTCATCTTATGGGCCATTTTCTCGTGTATCAAGCAAATAGTGTACTCAATCCCCCAAGGGTAGCCAACTTGATAAGAATCGGATACCTTAAGAGTGAGGTTATTTGTTTGAGCCTCGTTGGTGTTGTTACCTCCTGATCCGAGTGTATGTGATGTAGGGCTCAAACCCTGTGGATTTGTTTGACTAAGGTTGAACACCATGATCACTGAAAATAAAAGGTAAATTGGAGCTATAGGAGCTAATAATGTAGCCCCATGATGGGTAAGGCTCAGGACTTGTGTAGGTGGTCATTGCCAGAAAACTTGAAGTTTGTCCCATGAGCGGTTTGCATGGATGTGTGGCTAAGGTTGGTCAAAGAGACCATAAATTATGGTAGAAAAAGAAAAAAGTAGGACCCAGTATCATAAAGAGCCACTCCGTGTACATCCGCCAGGAGAGTTTATAAACAAATACATATCTTGGGTATCATCCTCGATACTGGGATATATCTTGTCTTTATTTATATATTTTACATCATATAAATGAGACCCATAAAAAACAATGAATGCGTAACTGTAACTGTTACTGTTACGTATTCCGATGTGTACATACTAACTTTGGTAGACATTGTTTCAGAGGACAATACTAGGGATTTTGTAAGCAGCGGAGGAGTTAAACAAGTTGCAAGAATCACAGTCGAATCCAGCAGAGAAGATATTCGTAACTTGGCAAATAAGATACTGAGACTGAATCGAACATTTCAAGCGGAGGTGCAAAATGAATAGCATTTTCCAATCTAACACTACTAATTACATCAACGGGGTAAGCCTTTAAGATTGTGCATAATTCCTCAATCTTACATGGTATTTTTAAAAGCCATTTTGTAAGAGGAAAACAGATGTTTGATAAGCAAGCTGATAATGAACTGCCTGTTTTGCTATATATAATTTATTTCCAAGAAAGTAGCATACAATAACGATGAGTTGTAATGATATCATAACTTGATCATGTTAACGTTCCGTACTTGTTGATGTATAGAACTAAAACCCTACCTAATTTAACCCTACTAGTTACATTGCATTGTGTTAATTGCTTGATTTGTAGCCAACCATTGTCAATCTTAGAGATCATTTACCAAACACTTACCGATTTGTGTCACTACTCATTTACCTAATCGGTTAAGATGCTTGGCCACCAAAATGGCATAATAGGTAATAATCTTACCCATTAAGCATTAACCGTCCTCACTTAGGGGTAAGATTATCATCTGTGTCGTGTTTTTTATCTAATAAGATTCTCGATCCTTATCATGTTCACCTGTTAAAATAAGTGACCTGATTAGGTATTGATAAACAACCCGTTGTTTACATCCAAAAGATATGCTATTTGTTTCCTTTTTCTTGGAAATGAATTAATAAATAATTAAATTTAAATATTCAAATAATAATCAAATACTTTCTTTATTTTATAAGTACAAAAAAAAACTTATTTTTGATGGTGTGAAGAAGAATGCAACATTTTTGTTTTTAGTAAAACCTTTATATTCAAATTTATTTATTTACTCATCTATAATTTATAATTAAATTACAATTGCATTTACAAAAAGCAACAGAATCGCAAAGTTAAATGTTATTTCAAACCTTAAAAAGAAACTGAAAAGTTAAATATTATTTCAAATCCAAAGAAGAGCATATCCAATTGATTACCATGTTTTCCTGAAATAAAATGTAATAGTCTGTTGCTATAACCATTTATTTTCTCGTAAATTCTATATCTTCCAAGTAAAAAAAATGTATATCTCATATTCACATTGCTCATCTCCATTAAAATAGAATGAATCATTTGAATGTGAAAGTTGAGTTAGTGACTTACATTTAAAGGGGATTTCAAAAAGACCCAAATTACCGAATTTACCCAAACAAAGTTCGATACACATCAGCCTTAACATAGTACCAGCTATGGATTTTTCACTTGTAAATCATCGATAGACGAAAAGAAACGTTGGAATTGGGGCATGTTTCTTTTCAACCAAACCAAAAGAGAAGCATATGAGGAATTTCTTAAATACAAGATTGAATCACAAAGCAAACACGAATTCTTCGTTTCTTCTAAACTAATCCACTGCAAGGCAAAAGGACGAGTTAAACAAATGTTTGACTCTTTAGGTAGAAGAAGATGGAAGATGAGAATTACATCATAGAAGTTGATGTTTTAAGGGATAGCAGGGGTTTCAAGGTCTCAGCATGACAACAAGATGATGTTTAAATCTGGACAATCTAACAATATAATTAGCAAAAAAAGGTTTGGCTATAACGTTTCACCCGAATCAGAGTTGTTTCTAACATCTTTATGTATCCAACTATATTTAGCCTAAGGGGTTGTTTGTTTATCTCTTAATAGTTTCATTAAGAGGCAACATCTGAATCATTAAGAGGTGAATCTTGTTTAACAAAAAAAAGTCTGACTCTTAATGATTCTAAAACCCTCTAAATGATTTTGTATATTAGATCTCCCTTAACCATTAAGAGCTTTAATTTCATTGTACACAATTACCAAACAATTATATTTCATTTTGCACTATATCATGAGAGCCTCTTAATCATTCTGACCATTTAATCATTCTACACCAAACCATTCAGCAATTGCCAAACAACCACTAAGTCGTTTAATCAAACGTTAAAATGTAAGATGACATTTTTGTAATAAAAAAGGAATGTTAGACGAAATGATAAAGTTAATTAAAAATTAATAGGTAAATTTGTGAAGGTATTGTAATAAAAATATTAAAAAAGTATTATATTATTAATATTTTATACATTAAATAAAATATCTTTTCTTTCTCGTAAAAATTTTATTTCTATATTTCTTATTGATAGAATATAATAAAAAAAAATTATTGTGTCCATATTGTTCTTGTTCTTCCTCTTGTCTGTTTTGCGATGGCCGGATGATTTAAAGTTTTTAAAAGAGAATTCAAGTAATGTCGTTTTTAAACATGTACACAAATCAACAATACATATATCTTTTGAAATTTCTAACCGTTTAAGACTTTTCATAATATAGTATATATTTGTATGCAGATATGATATTCTAGAATATGATTAAATCCAAAAATATTTAACATTGAACTCATTTTGAAGATATTGACGAGAGGATTATAATAGTATAATTTATACAAAAGAAACATACTTTTACTGTATTTTAATTAATATATGATTATATATGTTAATATCGTAAAAGAATATGAAAAATATAAAGGATATAAAGTAAATTAAATAACTAATTATATGAATATAAAATGTAATTTAAATGATTTTATCATTATATTATGAGCGTGCAACTTTCAAAGTTGTACATGATGTATATTTATTTGTACTTCTTAAAATTTGACACTTAACTATTTAAGATGCTTAATAATATACATGAAATGCTGCATTTATTTTTGACATTTTCAATTTACATATCTTATAACCGGTACAGAAACAAGGGTCGTCCTGGGGGAGGGCGGCACGGGCGCATGCCCAAAAATATCATGGGCCCAAAATTTTTCCTTAAAATACAATAGCAGTATAAAATAATTTAATAAATTAAAGAAACCAAAAAAATTGTAGCATATAATAAGAGGCAAAAAGAATTTAGTAGATAATAAGGACCCAAAAACATATCAATTAATTATATTGGAAATAAAAATAAAAAAATTAATTGATAATTCATTATATGTTATTGTTTATTGTCTCTCTAATTTTTATCTTCAACGAGGTCCAATGATATTGGCTATTGTTATCTCAATATGTTTGACTATTTTTGTGCTTCAACATTTCAACGTTAAGATCACGTGCTTGCTATTGTTATATATTTTTGTTGGATATTTTTATTAATTTTTGCTTCTATTGACTATTGCTATTTGGTTATCTAGTTCTAATTGTTTTTGTTGACTATTATTATCTATTTTTGCTTCTATATAAAATATTTTGCTATTGTTTGACAATCAATCTATTGTTCTTAAAATTTATGACGTGTTTCATGGTTTTGTGATTGATCAAAAAAAAATATACTAGATGTATTTAGTAATGTCTTTTATATATGTCATGTTTCATAAACTTTTAATCTTAACATCTTATTTTACTTGAGAAGAAAAAGAAAGAAAATAGAATTTAAATATTTTCATCAATTGTTTGACTTATGTATTTTTCATTGAGATTCTGCGACACCATAAGATTCTATTCAAGTGCTCAAACAATGATTGTTGAGTTTGCATATTATATGTTTAATTCATTGTTTATTCTTATTGGATCTCAATGAATCATCTTTTTCTTTTGTATTCTTATTGATCTTCATTTGTCTACTTGTCCAGAAAACCTTGATGATATTCTTTATTATTGATCTCTCATTGACATTCACAATTACTTCATTCACACGAATTCTCTTTTTATATCAAAATAACACATATTTCTTGTTATGAACTAAAAAAATTCTTACTTTTTATAAAAATTATCAACCATAGTTTCTATATTCTTGGTTTCAAATTACCTAACAAGAAGTATGTAATTTTAAGTACTCTCTTATATATCTATAATAAAGATAAATAAGATTTCTTTTCTCAGTGAATTATTAGCATTTCTTATACTTAATTTTATACTAATGAAGAACAATTATTGAATTTTTTTCGTACTTACCGAGGGTCATTATAAGAAAAGTGAGTTTTGACTAAGTGTTTTTTTAGCGATGACATGTTTCCGCCATAAGTTATGGCAACAACATGTTGTTGTTATATACTTTTCCTGATGATAAATGAATTTTTAGCGACGACAAAAGTCGTTGCTAAAAACATTGTTACTTGCAGTGGGCCCTGTTTTTATGTTCTCTCAGGGCCTATAAAATGTCAGAAACGAGTCTGACAGAAACTGATAATGGTAATATAGAACTCACGACCTGAATTGTTAGGGTGTGTGTTTTAAATGCTAATCCAACAAAACTATTGACGGCCTTAAGGATCATAATTGTAATTTTTATAGCAAAATTTTCGAACCCGTCACTAGTCATAACTCGGGGAAGTATTTAAATAAGGCTCAACTTTTGAAATGTCAATGTTTGAGCAATATCGTACATTCCGATATTGATTTTTATATTTCAACATCGTTAATAATCAAAACAATAACTACAAAGGTGGTGCCTGATTGGTTTGAGCTTGACTCCAAAAGTTAAAAGTACCCGGAGGTCCCAGATTCAAATCCAATGAGAAATAAAAATCCCCTTGTTGTCATGGAGGTTCAAATGCGATGACTCCGGGCTATCTGCAAAGCAAGTGGTCGCTTTAAGATTAGTCGGTTCGTATAGCGGGTTGGATATCCAGGTTAATAAAAAAAATCAGAACAATATTTCTCAAGAGTTGTTTGTCTGACTAATAGATTTTGCAAATACCTTGCACGTTTTTATGGCTATAGATTACTGAAAAATTTGGAAGATCAGTAACAATGGCCCAAGGCTCGATTTCATAACCAAATGGCGTACGTTTTACCGGATATCCAATCATCATATGAAATAAAAAAAAGATCAAATTGTTACGATTCAGTTGTTGAGTTAAATCAACGATTTCATAAAAAAACATGATTGTGGGAAAACTGTCCTTCATCATTCACAGACATGTTTTTGCCTCAAAGTTTTCATCAAATTTTGTAACTGTATGAGACAAATTCACAAATACAAAACACATATTGCCTCGGTTCAAGTACATGCACGTATTTTCTATTTTATGTCGTGTTGAAAAATAAAACAGTTTTCCTTTCAAAAAATCATTCCAAATATATAAATAATTGCAAGTTGAAAAAATGGAACATTTTTCCTTCATCATTAATCTTTGAAATTTGTGGCTGAGATCGTTCATGACATAAAATGTAAATAATTGCACATATAGACAATGTAACATAAGTGAACAATGTTTACAAGGGGTATTTTGGAAAAAGATTTTAGTTGTCTATTAATGACAATTAGATGTTTTGTAACTGTCCATTAATAATAATGTAACTATTTGGTATTATTCTCGTCATCGAATCGAAACCGACATCAAGATCCTGGACATCAGATTATTCTACAGCTTTTTTTTGGGTCAAGAGCTCATGTGTGAACAAGTATTCGATATTTATGGGAATTGTTCATATGTGAACAAGGGTGTATATGGAAAAAAGTCGTAATTTTTTTTTGTAACATCCATGTTTTTTTAGTAAACACATGCACTATGTAGTCCCGTTCATATATGAAATAAATGTGGAATGATACATGGTTCACCTATGAACAAACATCAAATTGTGCTTATGAACAATGCTCATGTGTTTACTTCTGAATGCTATTTGTTAGTCCCGAAGGGTAAGACAATAAACAGAAAGTAATTGTAGAAGGGGGGGTTGAATACAATTACACAGATTTTTTCAACTTTTTAATTCTTATTGATTTATATCAAGAATTAATACACACAGAAAAACAAAAGATTGTTGCGGAAGATAGGAAAGGAAAACCTAACCTAAACAATCTTACAAAGAGAATAACTTTCAAGAACAACACAGAGAGTTCTTGAAAGGAA